GGGTTATAGCATTAATGAACCCTTGCAAGCTAACGAAATAACTCAGTGACACCAAAACAGTGTTATGAAAAATGTGCACAGTTGAGTAGTTCCTTTTGTATAAAGTCGCACCTGAATGTAAAATATCGTAAGCACCAATATCAATGTTGTTTCCGACCTGAGAACATCTGAGGATTCCGCGGTACTAAGTGAGTTTCAAGGGTTTCGTGATGACACCAAAAAACTTCGAGTATGAGATTGATGGGAGGCGAGCTCATGGAATCGATGATGAGCACTTGAGGACGGTAACTGAAGAATGAACAGTGGTTTGAGAGGTGAGAAAAACTAGGCGTATGCGAAACAACACTCTCAGAACTCTCAATCGCACTGGAGAGTTCAAAGAAGAATAGACAGGACTGATAAGTGGCGAAAATCAGACGAATGTCAAGAAGATCGTCACTGTCACGGTTGCCGTGTCCTTTTTGCGTAATGAAATCGATCCTTCTCTTGATCGTTCTCATTTTGACATGCTACGCCCGGGCGGCGACTCTCTAGAAATAACTGGACAATGAGTACTGCGGGCAATGGACATGTGGAAGGACCATGGATATCTACTCGGATCATCGGCTATGAGGAAGACGAAGACGCTGAAACGTCAGCCGAATAAAGTTATTTATCAAACTCGCGTTAGCCCATTACTGAAACAATACATATTGATTGGTCACATCGAGGTCAGAAGAAAGTTGATTTTTTAAATCATAGGTACTTCTCGAAATAAAATTCATCTCAAAAAAGTTGCGATCACTTTTTTTGCTTGACATCCATCACAACTTCTGTGACCGGTAGGCGATCACTACAGAATGGCACTGTCAGCACATTGACGAAATAAAACAAGAACTACGCTGTCTTCTGCCGTCATTAGTTTCTCAAGGAAACCCAGCTCTGTGAACGAAGAGCATCCGACCGTATGGTACCAATTTTGGAGAAGATGAGACTTTGAGTAGGAAACTCTACTCCATACGACATTCTCGATGGATTTCTTCCACTTTTCCTAGCAGTTCAACAAATACTTGCTGAAAAGTACTCGGTAACCAAGTATTTGCTGTAAATGCCCCAAGAAATTCAGAAAGCCCTCAAGCCTGTAATTTGACCACAGCTAAATGGGCATCAAAACCGGGTTGCTGGTTTTTCAACGACATCATATATGTGTGGACGGACATGGGTCATATATACATAGATAGATATATAAGGAGTATGTATGTTTGGCTTGTGTCTATGTGAAAAGATGTGTATTGCACACACAGCGGTGATACGTGTTTGTTGCAGAGCGTTGTGTGGTTGTCTGTAGTAACGGAAGTCGTGGAGTTGCTGTCTTCTGCCACAAAGTGTGGCTGTACTTCAACGTGTGTTTAAGGAATTCTTCTTCATGACAACCTTTGAGTAGTCGACAGATACTGACCTTTCGACCTTCTGTGAGTTTGTGAAAAGTCCTTAGGGGCTCATTAAGAAATGTGATGGATTTGAACAGTAGCGGAAACACTAAAGTACATTTCCAGGAGAAGTGCGGACACTGCTAAGATTCAGAATGAATGGATGAAATTGTGATTGCATTAATACTTAGAAATTAGAAGTAGACGTAATTATAATGTAGTCTTAATGAAGTACTACTGCTGCTGATTCTAAGCCAAAGACGAAGTGTGTTGTGTGGCAGATAACGACTGTCCACTAGCGTTTTGTCAAATACACTTTTTCTGCTCCAGCGAGAAGCCTGACAGCCGAACCCACGCCCTGGATCTGAACACCTTTGTGGAGGACTGATATAAGGAAACGAAGCAGATGCGAGAAGTGCTGGTATCTATGCGATATGTATTATTGTCAGGTAGTGTTAAAAAAAGCCTACATTTCGAACCTCCAACCACCTCCACATTCGCTGGCGCCTGTTGCACGGCTGCGACCGCACAACCCAAAGATAAAAGATTTGCACTGTTTGTTGACGATAAATTTTATTGTGGAATTTCATAGGTAAATCCTTTCAAAAACAACAAACCAGTAAAAACAGTTCTCTTAAAAATGTATCATAGGCAGAATCGAGTAGAACAGAAGAACGAGATACAACATGTAAATTCTATTTTATCTTTATCTCGTTTTATTCTGTCAGACTTCCATCGAATCGTTCGCTGTTGTAATAGTGGACGAGTCTTGTAAAGCAACAAAGAGTGGCACTAGCAGTACGTGGTCTCGATAATGTTGGACAAAGCAATTATACAAAGGATTCATGTTCGGAAAATAAGTGAGTCAAAAAAAGTACGTAACCTAAATCTGACCAATCTGATAAGTTCTAACTTATTATTTACTGCCTACTCTTTTTAACGGCAGGGTATACGTTGTGAAATATAACTTCATGCTGAGATGCTGATGCTGAGATATTTGCAAAACTCCGGACTGCAGGTGTATGCGATGGAGAACGAACACGCTATTGTCCTTTCCGGGGAGTAGCGCGTTCACCACCACACCACGCGGGTCCTTCGTTTCGCTTGTCTCTCAGCTAGTTTTATCGATCTTTTGCCATCAGCAATCACCCGTCAACTGGATTGGTTCCCGGAAAGGACAATAGTGCGTTCGTTCCCCACCGCATACACCTGCCGTCCGGAGTTTTGCAAATATCTCAGCATCATTGAAGTTACTAATCAATTCTATCAAAAGTAAGTAATCTATTCGCGCTAAGCCTGGCTATGGAAAAACGTTAGTTTTTAGCTCCTTTTTTTTTTAGATCAGCTCTAATTGTCAAGCATATTTACGTTATTCTCTATTTAATTTTAATTATTAATAGCATATATAACATCCAAAACCTATTAGACCGTCTTTTCATGATGTTCGAAATTTCGAGTATTCGGTGACAATAATGACTGTGCTTCTCTCAGTCAAAAAATGACCTTGAAGCAAACGATGCATGTTTTAGACTACTGGTAAGCTTATAAGGTGGTATCATCGGTTTTGGGTATTGTTAGCGTTTTGACCTCTTTTCCGTTTTCGAGGTCAAAACACTTCAAGTCGAGTTTCCACAGGGATTGCTTCTTCTCTTCGTACTCGCTCCACCGAGTCGAATCCAATGGAGCAGAGCATCGCACGTTTTCTATTCGATCAAGATTTGTAAGGTGCTTCGCCTCAAATTATTACGGCTCTGAAGAAGGAGAAAGCACGCAAACGTTAGAGATAATGTAGCTTTGTAACGACACCAAGTAAGCTTATCAGTAAGCCAAAACAAAGGTCGTTAGTGCCAAAGTCAAATAGAAGTCGTTTTCTAGCATACCAAAAGATGTACCACTAGCACATCAAGAAGTTCAAATATTTGTTCGTTTCTTGTCAAACTGATTCGGGAAATTGGTATCGGGACTTTCTGGGAAAACAGCACTCTCTGCAGTCCAACTGGGAACGCTGCAGCCCGGCTACCTCAGGACTCCAGGGAAAATTGCTCGAGCAGCATTCTACGACAATCAAAATGAAACAGAAGTCCTCAAGCAGCAACCGAAGCTACACGTAAAAGTGGAAAAATCTTCGTGGACAATGGATGCGAGGAAACGAATCGAATGTGAGAAGTGCTGAGAACCGCACAGTAGATGTGAAGACGGGTCAAATAAAATAGAAAAAATAAAAAAAAATGCTTGTTAAATGTTGGAAAACGTAAATTCGATACGTTCGATAAATTTCGGAAGTTTCAAAATGCAGAGACAAGCTAAGGTTTTATTCAAGAAAATTTAGCAAGAGTATGCCAATGGATTCGTTAGAAAATTGTGGTTCGGTTGGAAGTGATCACAGAGGAAGAACTGGGATTTGCAGTCTGATAGGGCGACACAAAAACCAGTTGACCAACAAGCCCTTAAATATTTTACTTTTCAAAAATAGCATATATCGTCAAAAAGATAACGGCTTTTGTTAAAAGAAGGAAGGAAACAGCAGGGAATAGTTTACTTGTCTAGGAATTGAAAACGAGTTGCAGAACATCCAAAAAACAACACGCGCTAAGAAAGTAACGCTTTATATTTCATAAAGTAGACAACGATGACTAATGTAAAGCAACTATAAGGTTTGAAATGCGAAAACGATTAGAATTGAGGGATCAGACCGTTCAACAAGCAGAATCACAAGAACTTGCCAATGGTAAGTTAGGACCAATTCGATGATCAAATTCACTACTGAGGAGTCCAGTTTCATGCACTCGATAAATACGACGAGAAAAAGAAACAAATTTGTATGAGTTCGAAAATATTCATAATATTCAAAGTTCAAAATGAGTTTAAGATTTGTATGAATTTTAAAAACACGTGGTTTGAAGTCAAAATACTGATAACGCTCGAAAATTGAACAGCTGCGGTGGAAGAAGAAAAAGGTGCCTGTGATTTGCCAATTTGCCATAACCTCTTCTTTAAATGACTAATAGCTTTCATAAGGCTGGATTGAAATGGAAACCGTGTTTACTGTAATTAAAAAAGAGATAAGAGATCAAGCTGTCAGCGTTGATCAATCCCTGAGGGATGAGCCATGCATTCGACTTCGTTAAGCAGCGTTTGGAGGTGATTGAATGCATATCTGGCCTTTACAATGACTTGCGGTGGTCTACCGATGTTTCGAACCAGTGCTGCTAACCTCTCAGACAGGTCTGGTACCAATCTGCCAACCGCGGAGGGATGAAAGGTCCTTTTTACCTTTTCTCCTTTAATTTAGAGGATGGAATTTCCTCCACTCCTCGATGCAGACATGTTTGCCTCACATACGAAGAAATTATAGATGCCATGCTAACGCTTGCAAAGTTACATTGCGGAGTAAAGCCGACGATTGAAGTAAGTGAAATTAACTACACGTAAAAGTGTGAAGCAATGATTTGGTTCAACGGCCATGTTATGGATTTTATTTGAAGAAATAGCAACAATTTTGTTTATTCGTTGCATATAAGTAAAGCGAAGAAATAATTAAAGATGTTCATTGCACAACCACACTGTTCTGTTTGACTTCCGCTGAGTACACTATGGAAAACCAAAAAAATCCACCAAAAGAAGTCCAACTACCGTAGAGAAACGAGAAAAATAGAAGTCTACCTCTCGTTTGAGCCGTTCGATCTCCTTGTCGACATCACTGACGCTCTCATCTCCACAACCCTCCCTGCGTAGCACCTCCATCATCCTCTCGCATTCCGCTATAATGGCTGCCGGATCGAACTTCGTAATCGCTAATGATTGCTTCTGGAAAATAGTGGTCATCAATTGTTAATGCGTAAAATTGCAAGACTCGCCTCAGTGAGGGATTGAAGCTTGGCACGAAAGACCATGCAAACAAGTTATTTTTCTTAATTATTCACTTAATAAGCACACATCTGGTCAGTTACGAACTGTTCACACTGTTGGTAATAGGTTGGAAATGTGTAGTAATAAAAGGATAAAGTGTTCGGTCGTGATCAACCCCTGATAGATACAGATACGTCATACATTAGACTTCAGTGAGCATCGTTACAGGTGATTGAATGCAAATCTGTCCTATAGATTTCTGCTAGGCTATCAAGTCAATGGCGTCGTACACACAAACAAGTCTGATACCACATCTCCCATCTCGGGTGAATGGAAAGCTTGGTAAGCCTGAGAGGCGGGACGAAAGAGCAGACGATACAGGATATAATGGAAGGCACCTTCAACCCTTATGATACATGCACTAAAATGTGAATGTGGTTGAGATTTTTAAATTTCCTAATTAAGAGATATCGAGTGGACGAGAGAAGGAAGACCTCCACTTAGGTGGAACCACTGGAGAGGGCAAAATATTCCACGTGTTCAAGAAAATACGGTTCTTCGAAACCCTCTGTGAAGTCTTCGATTTTAGTTTCCATTGACTTACTAAATACTTGATACTCGAACGGCGCTTTCTCACTGGTTGTGCGGACCTCAGCATAATTACCGTTTCTCGGAGAACTGCTGGCTTAGCCATTGTGGTTTCTGGAATCCCAAGGTCAGCCCTGCCAAAGTCTGCCTAGATCTTCACCACCACGGACAGTCGCAGCCCTTGTGGATCAGGAGATTTGCCACCACGCGACATTGATCCTAGGACGGTGGTGGATTCTGCTGATGGTTTACTCTTAGCTAGGCTTCCTGATGGAAACGCCGGACTCCTTCTCAGCTTGGGAGACCCTACCGGTGGAAGACTTCCCCGCTGTACGTTGCAGTCCGACACCCAGAAAACCTTCCAGCGACGATGTGGCGGAAAGCCGTTGAGAGATTAGTTCCTATTTAATTCCTAAGTCGGACTTTCTATGAACCTCGGCATCGATTGAATAATTCTTTCCACTTCTGTTCAGCAAACACGAGTTGTTCCTTTTCCATATTCACGTACAAGCTGACGTTTCGGCGGATTTCGCCTTCCTCAGAGCATGGAAAGGTCAAGTTGACTACAATCTACACGGCCAAACACCTCCATAACCAAACAGAGAAAATGCTGAACCAAAATTTCAATCACATTGAACACAGAGTCTTTGCACACTCACCTCTTTCTATGAGTCTTCCACTAAATATGTCACGTGGAGACCAACCGCACAAAGTTCACACGGAATTGTATTGTGCCCATCTCATCAAAATAACAGACTTGTATACTGCCCAATATCACGCGTGATAACGAGGCATTCCTTTCTGCGGTTCATTTTCGGATTCTTGGAATTAATCCAGAATGCCCCCAGAGTTTTGCGCGCTTGTGTTCTCGATTCTTGCGCGAGGATCGTAACCCTTACTTCAAAGTCTTCTGCGTTATGTCTCTGCGTCTTATGCATGCCTAGTGCAGTACTTGGTTTACGTTTGCCGACTAGGTGTTTTTTTTTTATACGTACGCAGAGTGGTCTACACGTTTCACCAACGTATTCGTCCCAGCACGCTTTACAAGAGAACAGATAGACCGTACCCGAACTCATGCAGTCACCGTCTCTATCATTGGGACAATTATTAGAATTGGGACCGAGTTTCTCACCATCTTAACCCATTTCTAAGGTAACCTTGCGTGGGGTCGCATGTAGTTTACATGAACTTCAAGATAGACTCCGCAAAAAAGCTAGGGATGAAGGGCAAAATAGACGCGAACAACAAAAAGTAGGAGCAATACCATACCATTTCCATTTCCATTACCGTTCTTTAGACAACAAGAGCCCAATAATGAAGTTGATGTTAAATTTCTGATTTTTACGAATGAAACTTTCAAAGTCTTTAATCACTATCGCGCTAAGAGATACTGCTCCAACCTCACTGAAATACAAAAACGTGGTATGCAGGAGGTACGAGAGCTGATAACATCGAAAAACATAAGACCATCGGTTAGTGATAAGGGTGAGAGTTCGTTGTAATTTTCCATCAATTAAATGTTGAGATAACGGAAAATCACCTTGAATATCCTTCCTTCATCGCCCGTCGTCTGAGAAGCAATTTAAAAGTCAATACCGAAAGGTAAACAACGAATGGGCTAAAGTGGCAAGAGCGGCTGGGTTAAAACCATCAGTTATCTCTCCCCTCAAAATTGACTTAACAACATGTCCCGTCCTGTACTTACTTATCAAAAGCCATAAGTTATTATCCAGCGATGATCTCGTGTCTACCGAACCATTGTTATTTAAGGTTAGAATTATCCTTAGCTGCTTGGACGGGCCAACGGATAGAATAACGTGATTAATAACCCTAATACTTACTCAGTTGTTGAAGTACATTCCAGCTCATCTAACGAACACCCAAATGTTCCTGGATCGTCGACGCAACGCGTGACCCGACAGCGCGTGCGTGGTGGAGTCTTTCGACGTCACTGCCCTCTATACAAACGTTTCGAATGACTCCGCTATGCAAGCCATCCGCGAGCTCCTTACGCAACACAAAGGAGCAATAAACATGTATGGCTTTTCGATTCAGCAGTTGATGACACTCTTAAAGGAGTGCCTAAACTGCTCACTTTTCAGATGGTCCGGGAGGTATTACGCACGAATTAGAGGGCTGGCAATGGGACAGCGACTGGCACCAAGCCTTGCCATTGCATTCATGTCTAAGGTGGAAGCGCCAGTAATCGACCTAGGTCCGTTACTCTACTGTAGATATATAGATGACTGCTTGGTCATTTGTTCAACACAAGAAGAAATTGACAGAGGTTTCGAGTTGTTGAACGAACAGTCAGAGTATATTAAATTCACCCGAGAGAAACCAAAAAAAACTGGTTTCCACTTCTGAACGTGCAAATTAGCCTATCAGAAAACGGTTACATTACGAAATGGTATCGAAAGCCAAGTAGTAAAAATAACTTGGTTCATTACCTCTCCTCTCACCTCTCTCACACGAAAAGGGCGCTCGTAATAAGCATGTTTCGAACAGCTACCAGCGTGTGCATAGGAAGACAGTAGAGAGAGAAGTCCCGGAACTTGGCGCGGCAAGTAGCCATTTTTAATGGCTACGAAACCGTAGCTCGAGATAGGTGTAGAGGAAACCACAGGTACCCCAACGATAACTCTAGCGACAATAAGATCCCGTTTATACTGCCCTTCATTTCAAATGAAGTAAATGCAGCTATAAAACGCTGTTTAGGAAGGAACGGCCTAGAGAATTCGGTAACGATAATTGAAATGTCACCGAGTAATCTAAGAGGTCAGCTAGTTCGTAACCGCCTATACGACCGTCTATGTGCAACGCAAAATTGCATAATTTGCCCCAATGGTAGAGACGGTGACTGCATGAGTTGGGGTACAGTCTATTTGATCTCTTGTAAAGCGTGCGGGGACGAATACGTTGGCTAAACGGGTAGATCATTCTGCGTACGTATAAAAGAACACCTAGTCGGCAAACGTAAGCTAAGTACTCCACTAGGTACGCATAGCACGCAGAAACATAACGGAGAAGATTTTGAAGTAAGCGTTACGATCCTCGCGCAAAAATCGAGACCACAAACGCGCAAAACTCTAGAGGCATTCTGGATTAATTCCAAGAATCCGAAAATGAACCGCAGAAAGGAATGCTCGTCATCACGCGTGATATTGGGCAGTATACAAGTCTGTTATTTTGATGAGATGGGCACAATACAATTCCGTGTGAACTCTGTGCGGTTGGTCTCCACGTCACATATTTAGTGGAAGACTCATAAAAAAAGGTGAGTGTGCAAAGACTCTGTGTTCAATGTGATTAACATTTTGGTTCAGCATTTTCTCTGTTTGGTTATGGAGGTGTTTGGCCGTGTAGATTGTAGTCAACTTGACCTTTCCATGCTCTGAGGAAGGCGAAATCCGCTGAAACGTCAGCTTGTACGTAAATATGGAAAAGGAACACCTCGTGTTTGCTGAACAGAAGTGGAAAAAAGTTCCTATTTATTTAAAGTAACTACGAAACCACAACGTACAGCATTTATCTACAGCGCATTATTTTTCAGGTAGCCTACTATCTGAAATACAACCACAATGATGCTGAGATACTTGCAAAACTAAATCGAATCTCGGTTACCTTTTCAAGGGGACTCATGTGTTATACGCAGTACCACAAAGACGATCAACTAATAAGCTGGGTTCAACGCCGATTTGTTCGCGTAGCACATGAGATTCCGGAATGAGTAATCGCGGTTCGATTTGGGCTGGGATCGAAGGTTTGTAAATATTTCAGCATCATTGTAACCATGAAAGCTTGTTTATTGACTAAACTTTTTTTTATGATGTTCCTAGAAGACGATCAAAAAGTCAATGTAAAACAACAAATTATCTTTATTTATATTCCAATTTACACGACCATTTCAAATCTACTGTGCAGACCCCGGCATTTCCTACATTCTTGATTCCTTCCCTTGCATCCATCATCATCCACGAAAGTCTTACAACTTTTGTGTGTGGATTCGACTGCTGCTTGAATATTTTTATTTTGTAATGATTGTCATTGAATTCTTACTGGAGGCATGAGATAGATAGACATTTCTGGACTTGATCAGCAATTTCGTCTGTTAATCAGCTGACCCCATGACCCAATATTATTTGCGGATTTCCACTGAGAATTTTTAAGACAACGGCCGTCAAAATTACGCGTGCATCTTTGAAGGCTGAATTCATTCATCGTGTTCAGCACTTTCAAATAGTAGACATCGAAAATAGACCCAGTCAGGTTGTTTGTCTTCACTGTCTTCAATGACGAAGAAGTGCTTGACTGAATGCCACCTCAAGCAGATTGACAAATACTGTTGTTGCTTGAACAATGATATACAT